AAAAGCTTTCTTTTGGGCCCAACCGGAATTCCGGTTGGGATGCCTCAATTGAATCGGCCTAGTCGGATCCGACGGCTCTCGACGAGCGCAGTCGGACCCCACAGTCACAAAAAAAAAAAATAAAAAAAAATGAAAAGCTTTCTTTTGGGCCCAACCGGAATTCCGGTTGGGATGCCTCAATTGAATCGGCCTGGTCGGATCAGGGGCAGCAGAACCGCCCCTTCGCTGGCCCAGCCCTGTTTCAAATGGAGTTTATGAGCCGGTTACTTTTTCATTGACCACCTTCCTCATGTTAGTTGCTTTCACTCACAAAACTTGTTTTTGCTACTTTGGCCATATTATCATATTCTTATCTCATTGTTTCCTGTGGTTGTTTTTGCTACTTTGGCCGGTTGATCTGTTTGTTATCTTATTGTTTCTTGTGGTTATTATGTCCTCGCTTGCTTGGGAATGGAGTGAACTAATCCTGCTCTGGCTTGTGCTTGTTGGGCTGTTGTGGTTATGGTGGTTGTGCTCAGAAATCGACTAAGGCTGCTTACAACTTTTCTGGAGCATTTGGTTGCAGAAGGAAGCAAGGATGTCCATGTGCACAATGCCATTGGCAAGATTCTTATCGACACAAACAATAATCCTGAGCACTTTCTCAACACAAACCCCTATTATGACGCACGTGTTGTGGGCAAACACTGTGAAAAGCGTGATCCCCTTCTGGCCTGTGTTGCTTACAAAAAGGGCCAGTGCGACGATGAGCTCATTGCAGTTACGAGCAAGAACTCCCTGTTCAAGATCCAGTCCAGGTACATACTGCATGCTGTATTCTTCCCTGAGCATATACAGAACCGGTTGGTAAATTTGGCATGTTTGGACTTCAGAAGCGGTTAACAGAGCCTTGAATTTTGAGGGGTTTTCATGGTCGTTCCCACACCTTTTCAACCAATTTTTTGTCTCCACACCTTAAGAGTGGAGAACAAACAAATGCTTTCAGACTCGTCTCGATTTCACGTCCAACATGCATACATGCAGATGCTGATGGTGAAGCTTCCTCAAAGCAGAATCAGCGACAGGCTTGAGATGGCCCACACAGAAAACTCAGGGATATGGCCTTTGGCCAGGAACTCGGCTCAAGACAACTTGTCACATCTTGCGGCTGTGGCACCCGAGCGCTAGTCTGAAATTCCCACCCGAACGCTGTATCCACCATCAGACACACGCATACGGACACAACACTTGGATCTACCCTGAATGTCTGCACTCACACACACACTGTCTTCTATCTTCTATCTTCTATCTTCTACACACGGGCGGCTATGGCCGCCGTCGTCTTCCTCCTAGTGGCTATGGCCGCTTGCCCGCTCTCCTGCTGACCACCTGTGACACCACGCAGGAGACACTCAAACGGTGCTTCTGCGTAGTTAGTCTCAGAATGAGTGAATGACTGATCGCTGCCTCTATATTTATACTGTTTCGTTTGCTGGTCTGGGGCCTGCCTGATGTCCCAGCCCTCAAGATGTGCAGTCCAACTCTGGTACTTGCTGCAAAACGGACTGGACTGGGACTGCCTTTTCATGTGCCGCTTCGGGCTTGACTTGGGACTCTTGACCTTTCCGAGATTTGACGGGCTGCCTCTACTGACTTCAAGAGGTCAAGTTGACTCTTAGAGACCTAACCTAGCCACGACCTACTGACCTTTCAGAGGACGTATGGCCAGTTGACCTTTCGAAATGTTAACTTTGGGACACCTACGGACGCCCCTAAGGCTTATAAGCAACAGACCTACGGATCAAATCCATACGACCCGGGCTTCACACACAAGGCATTTATACACAGGTTTGGGGACAGGTCGTGGGTTCAAGGCATACGGGGTCAAGGAACAACACAAACGTACTGTACACCGGGTTGGGGAAAGTCTGTGGATCAAGCCCTGGTATCTGCAATTGTTGCACGAACTGGGGGAAACCCTTTCATAAACCAACAGCTAAAAGAAAAGTGAAGTTGGTACACCCTGTAACACTCACGAACTGTTCAAATACGGACCCAAGTTGGAATCCAGACAATCAGATGACCAGAACAACATAATTTTGAATTGCCTGGTGCCGGCCAGTTTCAATGATGATACAAAGACACCTTTCTTTTATCAAAAAAAAAAAGAGAGGACCCTCGAATGAAAGGCCAAGGCTTGTTGGGCTAGGATGTTCTGTAGCAGTTCACCCCTTGATAGATGTCTAGTACCACAAGGGTGGGACCGTTGCTTTTCTTTTGTCTGATCTCCCCCCTGTCTCGGATGGATGTAAAAACCTTGCTTGCCGGTGATAAGTAACCGGACTGATGCCCTCCAAAATAGAAGGGTTCTTTTTTTTTTTTTTTTTTTTTTTTTACCAATAAGTGGACCGGCCGCAGCCACGCTGCGGCTGTTGTTGTGACACTGCTTGGGCTTTTTTTTTTGTTTTGGTGTCGTCATATACGCTCGAAAAAAACATGACTGTGGCACTGTTTCCGACTGATCAGGAGGTTGTGTGTGTGTGTGTGTGTGGGAGAGAGAGAGAGAGAGAGAGAGAGAGAGAGAGAGAGAGAGAGAGAGAGAGAGAGAGAGAGAGAGAGAGAGAGAG